TATGTATGTATGTATCGTATGTATGTAGCGTATGTATGCACCTTAGTATGTACGAATGCACCTAATTACATATACATGCATTTCACGATGTATGAATGCACCCGAGTGTATGAATGCACCCGAGTGTATGAATGCACCTGAGTGTATGAATGCACCTCAATATGCAAACTGAATATACAGACCGCAAACTAACGTAATCTGACTGGGTGTAGCATTAAGCCCCAAACTCGCGGTGGGTGTGTCAATTGCGGTGGGTGTGTCAATTGCGGTGGGTGTGCCAATTGCGGTGGGTGTGTCAATTGCGGTGGGTGTGTCAATTGCGGTGGGTGTGTCAATTGACCTTACTATATCTTACCATATTACAGCCTCACACACACACACACACACACACACACACACACACACGCGCGCGCGCGCGCGCGCGCCACTGTATCGTAATATACCTGTAGACCACATCATCTGAATATTTGATCTCTCTCTCTCTCTCTCTCTCTCTCCATAACAGATGTTTATCTCTCTCAGTCTATAACACATATTAAAAAAAAATCTTTGCTATCCAAGTTTTGCTTTGAAATTACTGAATAAACCTAATGCGTATGAATGCATCTGGTTTTCTATACATTCATGTGTGTATGAGTTGTAATGTATATGTAAATTTATATATCATACAATTTTTCATAGTGTATATTTGCTACATTTGAAACCTCTCTTTAACGGGTTATAAGGGGAGAGGAGTACGTTATATGGAGGCTTCACTGTAGAAGGGTATAATAACCCATACACAGATGAGTGTGTTTATCCGGTGTACACCTTCAGGAGAACTACGAACACCTTCAGGAGAGCTACACCTGACACAACAAACACCTTCAGGAGAGCTACACCTGACACAACACACACCTTCAGGAGAGCTACACCTGACACAACAAACACCTTCAGTAGAGCTACACCTGACACAACAAACACCTTCAGGAGAGCTACACCTGACACAACAAACACCTTCAGGAGAGCTACACCTGACACAAATAAACACCTTCAGGAGAGCTACACTGACACACAATGAACACCTTCAGGAGAGCTGCTACACTCTGACACAACAACAAACACCTTCAGGAGAGCTACACACCTGACACACAAGCTCCCCTTCAGGAGAGCCACACCTGACATAACAAACACCTTCAGGAGAGCTGCACCTGACACAACAAATACCTTCTAGGAGAGCTACACCTGGACACACAACAAACACCTTCTCAGGAGAGCTACACCGACACACAGCACCTCAGGAGAGCTACAAACACCTCCAGGTGGTGAAGCTATTAACACAACGCTCACACTACATAGCACCAGGTCAGAATGCACTCATTTATAAACCATCTTTTGTATACAGAACACAGGTTTACAGAATGAGGCGAGGAATACAGGGGAAATAACAGATAAGAGGCGAGGAATAACAGGGAAATACACCAAAAAATAAGAGAAACACAAGATTAAACTAAAAAGTAATGTCATTATTAAAGTGATGACGTCATAAACTAGCACAAGAGTGTGTAGTGGGGCTGATGGAGACCTGGCAGGTGGTGGAGCCCGCATAGGAGGTGCTGATGAGAGACACACAGACACATACACACACACACACACGATGCCATCACAACTACATCACAGGAGGCGGCCACGTTCCAAGTTTAATCCAAAATACATCCACTTGTGCACATGAGCACACAAGGTGAGCTACATTAAGAGGCAGATACATAACTACACATAAAGCACAAGAGCCGTCACCACATCTCCTCCGGCAGGCTGGAAATTTCATCAAGATAAGTCCAGTATTTGAGGTTTACCTGCCTGAAAGTTGTGGACAGAGGACAGACAGAGACAGTGCATAGGGGTTAATAAGTTCATATAATATGAGGGAGAGAGGCGGGCTGGGTGGGCTGACTACAATACAATAGTCCTCCAGTGTGTGGTGGGTCTGAAATGTGGATAAAGAGTTATGAATATGCGGGAGAGTTGTGTCTACACCATGTTGTGTGTGTCTTATGACACCCATCCTGTGACCCACACTGTGTCTGTACATGTGTGGCGTGTGTGTGTGTTTGTGTGTGTGGTAATCTAACACTAAGAAGGACATCCCAAACCAACCCGGACGGCGCCATCGGTCCTTCCCTACTCCAGTACCCCCCTCCCCTACACACCAACCATTAGTGGTGCTCGTGGGCGCAGAACATCACTCCCTCCACCCTCACCCCTGCCACCCCTCACCCCACCACTCCACCCTCCACCCCACCACTCCACCCTCTCCCCACCTCCCACCCTCACCCCCCACCCCACCATCACCAAATTACCCGCCACCCGACCTGCCTCCAGACAGTGCACAAGATGGCCGACCTCACCGTGAACAACGCTGACACCGGAGCTTACCATCACACACACTGAAACCTCTCACTCTACTGGGTCACACTTATAGTGAGTTGTTACACACACACACACACAGACACACACACACACACACACACACACACACACACACACACACACACACACACACACACACACAGAGCAGAGAACCCTTAACTATGCTTTCTAACAGATGCTGAGTGAACTTATCTTGTGAAGGTAAAAGTCTCAGTGTTATTTAGCTATCTTGAGAGGACGTTATGTATGTGTACAGTGTGTGTGTACAGTAATGTGTGTGTGTGTGTGTGTATGAACCTAAAATCGGAAATCTTTATATCGTAGTTATTTTGATATTACCCGTTACTTATGGCATTGTGTATAATTGTGGTATTGGCGATGGTGTAGTGGTGTAGTGTTTGATGCTAGTGTGGTGTTGGTGCAGTGTGGTGTTAGCATCCGGTATTGTGGTGTGGTGTTGGGAGTGGTGGTGATGGCGCCGTGTTGTGTTGGCAGTACTGGCATTGTTGTGGTGGTAACGGTGTGGTGTTGGCAGTGCTGGTATTATGGTATTGGCAGTGCTGGTATTGTGTGGTGTTGGCAATGCTGGTATTGTGTGGTGATGGTGCAGTGTGGTGGCAGTGCTGGTATTGTGTGGTGATGGTGCAGTGTGGTGTTAGCGGTGCTGGTATTGTGTGGTGATGGTGCAGTGTGGTGTTGGTAGTGCTGGTGTTGTGTGGTGATGGTACAGTGTGGTGTTGGCAGTGCTGGTATTGTGTGGTGATGGTGCAGTGTGGTGTTGGCAGTACTGGCATTGTGTGGTGGTGCAATGTGGTGTTGGCAGTGCTGGTATCTGTGGTGATGGTGCAGTGTGGTGTTAGCAGTGCTGGTATCGTGTGGTGATGGTGCAGTGTGGTGTTGGCAGTGCTGGTATAGTGTAGCAATGGTGTAGTGGTGGTGGTGGTGGTGCTCGGTGTAGTTATCGTTTGAGATTTAATTGGTCCTTCCCTAATTGCCAACAGGTAGTTATGAAAGTGTAAGAGGCAGGCGTGAGGCAGGGCAGTGTGGCCAGGGGGGTCACTCAGCTCACACCCCAAAAAATTAAATGTCATAATAATTAAAACAATACTAACTCTTCATAATGACTAAATAATTTCATTGGTATTAATATTAACTGTAAAATAAGTAAAAAAAAAAGTTTAAATTAAAGACAAAAAAGTAATACTTTTTCGGGCGAGAGAGGAAGAACCTGGCCCCAAGAGGGTGCCTGGGGAACCAATATTGGAACTGCACAAATGGTCCCACAGTAAGCGGAAAACATTTAGGAAAACCAAATTTTACTTAGTTATTTTTAAACCTGTAACCGATTCTCGACGCTCTCTTACCTATCATTCCCTCTGGTCCAAAATGTAGAAATAAAACACAATGAGGCGCCAGTTATCACAATGAACGAGATCCTAAACAAGACGAGAAATATTTGCCGCCATTTTTAAACTGACGTCAACAAATTTAAACCTTGGTTACTGTGTTAAATCTTATGAATCACAAACGTATGATAACTTATTTATTTTTGTACCTAACTACTGACCAAGTTAATACAATTGTGTAATGAGTTAGAAATATGTTAAAAGACCAACAGCTTGGTAGTTAGAAATAATGTAGTAGTCTCAGTAAACTGTCAAGAAAAAGTGCATTATTATTCCATATCGACAAAATCTTTGGCAGCTCGCCTGCAGATGGCAGCGTTGCCAGTGACCTTATTACCACACACCCACGTATTATGCAGGGGAGCGGCGGGCATAAACTCTGTGAGTGTGTGTGTGTTAGTTACAGGCAACATACTGTGGTACATGTTGCCGCCACACACCACCACACCTTGCCTCTTGTTTCCAATCGTTGGTTCATTAATTGCTTTCCATCTTCAATAACCTCCACTAATGATTCATGTACACTTAACAAGCGTCTCTTAACACACTTGTCTCTAAAACCGCCAAGAGTTATCGGCAAAACGGTTTCTGCTTTTATGTTTATTGGACCAATTTGTGAGCACAGAATCATGTTGGTGATCATTAAGAAGGTCAAAAGGTCAGGTCTTATTAGCATCATTGAAAAATGAGATCGACCACAGTCTTTAAGGGAGACTTATGAAAGACGAGCTAAATGAGAAGAAAAAATTATGTTAACTTTTATATTGGTGATAACGTTTTGATTATGGTGACCTTTGACCCCTGACATGACCTTCAGGATGACCCTAGGTAGGAGAATCATCTAAGTTCGTCGCAACAAACACACGACCCTCACCCCCTCCCTCCTTAGGTCTGAGTAAACTTGTGGGAGACCAAACTTATCACAAAAACCAGTCTGTCTTCGCATACCTTACGTTTTCTATGACAGTAGTGATGAGAGGAAACCGTTTTCTATGACTACTGTGAGGAACCCGTTTTCTATGACAGTGCTTAGATTCCTTAGACTTAGAGGAACTTAAATTACTACCGCTTCATTTTAATATAACTCTGATATTTTCCCCTAAACCGAGGTATCTGTTCATCGTTCCTCTGGCTAGATGACAGTACAGGTATTTCACTAACCTGTCGAATTAACACCTTGGCTTGATGAGACACAGGTGGGCAGATACCAAACAGGTGAGTTGTAAGAGCAGGAATTTGTACACTAGTCGACCAAACGCCGTGATCCACCATGATGTACCGTGAAAGCTTTGGGTTAAGTTGAAATTACTAGGCATCCCAGCTTATTTCACCCAATAATCAGCTTATTTCCACCAATAATAAGACTGACACTAATCCAACCTAATAAGACCCTCACAGTAAACTAACCTTACCTAAACTAATCGTATTACCACTGACCTAACCTAACGAAACCCTAACCTAATAAAACCTCAACCTAACAAAACCCTAACCTAACACTACACTAACCCTAACCTAACAAACCCTAACCTAACACTACACTAACCCTAACCTAAACTACAAACCCTAACCTAACACAACCACTAACCTAACCCAATAATATAAAACCGTGAAACTAATCTAATTACCTATATAAAAGACCTTCACACTAACCTAATCTAACCCTCCCAGGTAGCTCCAGGGGTGTCTATTCTTCAGGTGACATACCAACCCGTTAATACTGTATGAGAACAAGACTAACATATGGCTACAGAGGGTTGAGACATGAGGTAACTGGCTACCCTCCCTCCCTCAGTATGGTCAATAATAAACTCCAGAATTTATCGTCGTCTCTTTCAGCAAACATACATACATACATATACACACACACACACATATATATATATATATATATATATATATATATATATATATATATATATATATATATATATATGTATTACTGATATTTTTAAACCAACTATAATCGGATATATACTTCAAAAATATGATACATATATACAGTATTATTATTAGCTATTATTATTATTATTATTATTATTATCACAAAATAATAACATGACCACTGCCCCAGAGACTCGGGTTCCCAACATTAAAAATCCACCACAGGAAAATATGGATCGAGAAGGCTATGACGTCACATGTCAACAACCCCCGCCAGCCTTAAACCAATAAGCCGCTCCTTCTGTCAACACTTGCCTCATCTCTCAAAAACTAAAGGTCATAGAGCATTACTACACGCACCGACACCCTACACCGATAATGATTCTATAGACCATAAAATATAAAGGTAGAGTACAGTCGACTACTTAACGAACCCTGAGACTCAGACTCGTGAACCCGAAACAGTAGACTATCAATCAAATTCCGGATTTATGAGTCTGAGTTCTTGGGGTTCGTGGTTCAGGAGGAGAAGCGAACGGACTTTAATACCTGACTGTACAATAAACATTAAGCTCTGAATATACTGACGATTCTAACCTCGGAAATCAGAGTCCAGATGGGTAGCAACGTTATATAATGGACGACAACTGAAGGGGTTGACTCTGCGTTGATGAGATCCTCCCAGTGTCACTTGCTGATAATCGGAACAAAACTAGAGAGCCGTAATGGGTGGGCTGGGGTGAATGGTGGAATAGGGACCCCGTTGGGTGTGTTAATAGACCCTGAAGGAATCTTTTCTGTGGGTTATATAGGACACACTGGACACAACAAGGTACAGCCACGCCAGTACAGCACGCCAGGGTACAGCAAGCCAGGTACAGCAAGCCAGGTACAGCAAGCCAGGGTACAGAAGCCAGGGTACAGCACGCCAGGGTACAGCACGCCAGGTACAGCACGCCAGGTACAGCACGCCAGGACAGCAAGCCAGGTACAGCAAGCCAGGTACAGCACGCCAGGCACAGCAAGCCAGGGTACAGCAAGCCAGGTACAGCACGCCAGGGTACAGCACGCCAGGGTACAGCACGCCAGGTACAGCACGCCAGAGTACAGCACGCCAGGGTACAGCAAGCCAGGTACAGCACGCCAGGGTACAGCACGCCAGAGTACAGCACGCCAGTACAGCACGCCAGGTACAGCAAGCCAGGGTACAGCAAGCCAGGGTACAGCACGCCAGAAGTACAGCACGCCAGGAGTACAGCACGCCAGGGTACAGCACGCCAGGGTACAGCAAGCCAGGGTACAGCAAGCCAGGGTACAGCACGCCAGGGTACACAGCAAGCAGGGTAGCACGCCAGGGTACAGCACGCGGCACAGCACGCCAGGGTACAACACGCCAAGGGTACAGCAAGCCAGGGTACAGCAAGCCCGAGGTACAGCACGCCAGGGTACAGCAAGCCAGGTACAGCACGCCAGGTACAGCACGCCAGGGTACAGCAAGCCAGGGTACAGCAAGCCAGGGTACAGCACGCCAGGTACAGCACGCCAGGGTACAGCACGCCAGGTACAGCACGCCAGGGTACAGCACGCCAGGGTACAGCAAGCAGGGTACAGCACGCCGGTACAGCACGCCAAGTACGCGCCAGGGTACAGCAAGCCAGGGTACAGCAAGCCAAGTACAGCACGCCAGGTACAGCACGCCAGGTACAGCACGCCAGGGTACAGCACGCCAGGTACAGCAAGCCAGAATTACAACACGCCAGGGTACAGCAAGCCAGGGCAACACGCCAGGGTACAGCAAGCCAGGGTACAGCAAGCCAGGTACAGCACGCCAGGTGCAGCACGCAGAGGTACAGCAAGCCAGGAGTACAGCACGCCAGGTACAGCACGCCAAGGTACAGCACGCCAGGGTACAGCACGCCAGGGTACAACACGCCAGGGTACAACACGCCAGGGTACAGCACGCCAGGGTACAGCAAGCCAGGGTACAGCACGCCAGGTACAGCACGCCAGGGTACAGCACGCCAGGTACAGCACGCCAGGGTACAGCACGCCAGGGTAGCACGCCAGTACAGCACACGTGCAACACGCCAAGGGTACAACAAGCAAAATTAGCAAGCAAGGTACAGCACGCCAGGGTACAGCACGCCAGGTACAGCAAGCCAGGGTACAGCAAGCCAGGGTACAGCACGCCAGGGTACAGCACGCCAGGGACAGCATGGGGTACAGCAAGCCAGGGGTACAGCAAACCAAGGTACAGCACGCCAGGGTACAGCACGCCAGGGTACAGCAAGCCAGGGTACAGCAAGCAGGGTACAGCAAGCCGAATACAGCACGCAGACACAGCAAGCCAGGGTACAGCAAGCCAGGTACAGCAAGCCAGGGTACAGCAAGCCAAGGTACAACACGCCAGGTACAGCACGCCAGGGTGCAACAAGCCAGGGTACAACAAGCCAAGGTACAGCACGCCAGGGTACAGCAAGCCAGGGTACAGCAAGCCAGGGTACAGCAAGCCAGGTACAGCAAGCCAGGGTACAGCAAGCCAGGTACAGCACGCCAGGGTACAGCAAGCCAGGGTACAGCAAGCAGGGTACAGCAAGCCAGGGTACAGCACGCCAGGGTACAGCAAGCCAGGGTACAGCAAGCCAGGGTACAGCAAGCCAGGGTACAGCAAGCCAAGGTACAGCACGCCAGGCACAGCACGCCAGGGCACAGCAAGCCAGGTACAGCAAGCCAGGGTACAGCACGCCAGGGTACAGCACGCCAGGGTACAGCACGCCAGGGTACAGCACGCCAGGGTACAGCACGCCAGGGTACAGCACGCCAGGGTACAGCACGCCAGGGTACAGCAAGCCAGGGTACAGCAAGCCAGGGTACAGCAAGCCAAGGTACAGCACGCCAGGGTACAGCAGACCAGGGTACAGCAAGCCGGGGTACAGCAAGCCAGGGTACAGCACGCCAGGGTACAGCAAGCCAGGGTACAGCAAGCCAGGGTACAGCAAGCCAGGGTGCAGCAAGCCAAGGTACAGCACGCCAGGGTACAGCACGCCAGGTGCAGCAAGCCAGGGTACAGCAAGCCAGGGTACAGCACGCCAAGGGTACAGCACGCCAGGGTACAGCAAGCCAGAGTACAGCACACGCCAGAGTACAGCACGCCAGGTACAGCACGCCAGGGTACAGCACGCCAGGCCGCAACCAGGGTACAGCAAGCCAGGGTACAGCACGCCAGGGTACAGCACGCCAGGTACAGCACGCCAGGGCACAGCACGCCAGGGTACAGCACGCCAGGGTACAGCACGCCAGGTACACAGCAAGCGGTACAGCACGCCAGGGTACAGCACGCCAGGGTACAGCACGCCAGGGTACAGCAAGCCAGGTACAGCAAGCCAAGGTACAGCACGCCAGGGTACAGCACGCCAGGTACAGCACGCCAGGTACAGCACGCCAGGGTACAGCAAGCCAGGTCACAGCACGCCAGGGTACAGCAAGCCAGGTACAGCAAGCCAGGTACAGCACGCCAGAGTACAGCAAGCAGGGTACAGCAAGCAGGGTACAGCACGCCAGGTACAGCACGCCAGTACAGCACGCCAGGGTACAGCACGCAGGGTACAGCAACCGGGTACAGCAACCAGGGTACAGCCGCCCATCATGCCCTGGACATGGTTATAAAAGCCAGTTTTCCGCTCGGCCAGGCGGCGCTATTTTCCGATCGGTTACTCCGCCAGGTTGTCGGGGGAGTGACGGAGCCCAGCCAGTAACGGAGTGGAGAAAGGGGAGGCGAGAGAGGGCACAGTGAAGGGGAGAGAGGAGAGGTAGTACAGTGCGAGGTAGTACAGTGAGGGAGACAGAGGAAGGGAGTACAGGAGGGAGGAGAGGTAGTACAGTGAGGTAGTACAGTGAGGGGAGACAGAGGAGGGAGTACAGTGAGAGGGAATATACTGAGGGAGACAGAGGAGAGGGAGACAGAAGATGGGGACAAAGCAAGGAGGAGAGAAAAGGAGGGTAATGGGTGAAGGTGAGACAGGATGGAGGGGGTGCAGTAGGGGGAGAGAAAGAAGGTACAGTGAGGGGAGAAAAGTGGAGGTTAAGTCGAGTTGGGCACAAGTCTTGGTTGCATGAGAAGATCAACTAAACACTGCCGGGGGTGTTAAGACCTGCAGTACTTCCCCTGCAGCACACAACACCCTGACCCACCTCTCAAACACACCATATAACACTCCTCTTCTGCTCTCTGGGGTAAAACACAGATATAGTCAATAAATGAATCAAACAGGACCTCTATAGTAAAGCAGATGGCACTGACTGGTAAACATTAAGCCACGCGGAAGAACACACTGAAGAACACAGGCTATTCAGTCAAGTGTGGCTTCAAGTGTATGGTCGTCACAATGCTGCCGACCTCTTGAAGAACTTGTCATTGTTTCGTTGCCCTGGACATCGCTGTTACCCCTGGCTGGTCTGGCACTTCGGTGTCCTGAAAAATATAATAATAATAATAATAATAATAATAATAATATATATAATAATAATAATAATAATAATAATATAATAATAATAGTAATCAATCCACAAATACCTACACCTCAAGGTCTCTAACGGCAGCCCTTTAAACAGTGAGTTTAATATACAACACACACACACACACACACACACACACACACACACACACACACACACACACACACACACACACACCTGTACTCTCACAACATAACACTCCTCTCCCACAGCACAGGATACACTAAGCTACATTAGGAGGTTTTACATCTGGCGGAGGGAAAACACAGACGATGACGATCACCAGACACCGCAAGCAACACCGGAAGTAGTATGTGTGTGTGTGTGTGTGTGTGTGTGTGTGTGTGTGTGTGTGTGTGTGTGTGTGTGTGTGTGTGTGTGTGTGTGTGTGTGTGTGTGTGTGCTGATATACAACATGATCCGGATATAAAGGACAAGGTTTGATTAGGAACTCAGTCTTAAGGTAGGAAACTAGTAAGTAACATAATAAATATTAATTCATATACAGTATATAATAAATAAATAAATAAATATATATATATATATATATATATATATATATATATATATATATATATATATATATATATATATATATATATATATATATATATCGAAAAAAAATATTGTTGGAAAAAATAAACTATTATTACTGTACTTTAAAATAAATATCCCAATGATTTTCGAAATATAAAATACTTTCATCTATTTTCATTTCACAACTTTCAAAATACGACAGAAAAAGACTATATCTATAACGAAGTACTCATATTCTACCTTATCTTGAATTTATTCCAGAAAGAAAAGCAGAAATTTCCTTCCATAATGAATTCTTAAATAACTTTCCACCGTATATTATATCAAGATGTCGTAAAAAAATATTGAATATAAAATACCCGGAGAGACCATATTATATGAGGTACTTGGCCAGTATGTGTGTGTGTGTGTGTGTGTGTGTGTGTGTGTGTGTGTAAACCTCCCTATAGCACACCATGTGTGACTCATTATCGTAAAACACACACACACACACACACACACACACACACACACACACACACACACACACACACACACACACACACACACACACGACAAAAATGAAAAAAAAAGCCATATATTGGGAACACGTAGCAACAAATTAAATATATCTCCCTTCCCTCTCCTCCAGACCACACGACAGACAGGGGCCCCCGACCATCAGCCGTGAAGGACATTTAATCAATAAGGATCTCACATGTAAGTTTTTTTCCTCATCAGTTATGAGTGTGTGTGTGTGTAGTATCACTGTCAACTTTCTCTCCATTCCCCTTCCACCACCACCCCCTTCCACCATCACTCCTTCCACCCACCATCCTTCCACCACCACCCCTTCCATCACCACCCCTCACCCATCTCCCTACCCTCTTCCTCCACTATCACCTTTTCATCCCCCTCCCACCATCCCTTCCCGAGTCATCATGTTACCTGCTGACGGAGGCTGACAGGAGGGAGGGAGGAAGGAAGGCTGAATGAATGAGAGAGGGAGAAGTGAAAAAGGGAGGGAGGAAAGGAAAGATGAGCCAGGGAAGGAAGGAAGGAAGGAGAGATAGAGGCAAGGAAGGAGATGAAGGATCAGAGGATAACAGGTAACAAGGATGGAGGAGAGAAGAAAGGGGAGGTGGATGAGGGAGAAGAAGAATGAGAGAGGAACGGGAGGGTGAGGGAGCGGGTTTCTTGCAATAAATAAATGATGAACGGCGATTTGCAACCTACACAACCGTCTCTCTCTCTCTCTCTCTCTCTCTCTCTCTCAGCGGCTTTAATGATGGTAATTCACACAGGTAACGGTAGAAGAGTGGTTATCTTACTCGTCTGGCAGATCAGAGGCCTTGGTTCGATCCCCCACCTCAACGCAAGTGAAAGGTACCAGTGTGGACCAGCACTAGCAATATAACACTATCACCACCATCGATCCAGTCAGACCATCGAGCATCAGTCAGACTTGGTATTCATATAGTGACTGATGCACACGGCGGATGAGACTGGAGTAAATATAGGTAAGTAAAAACAACAAAAAAAATACAAATAAATAAATAAATAAATAAATAAATAAAAAATAACAAAATTACAACCACCACCACCACCCAAGAGTGCCATCATTAATACAACCAATAACAACAACCATAATCACAATAACAATCACCGCCCAAGAGCTCCACCACCAACCACACAACACCACCACACAACAACTACCACCACCACCAACCACAACAACCACCACAAAAACCACAACAACTACAACAACCACCACCAACCACACCAACCACAACAACCACCACCACCACCACAACAACCACAACAACCACCCACCACACAACCACCACAACAACCACAACAACCACCCCCAACACAACAACCACCACCACCAACCACAACAACCACCACTCCAACCACAACCACCACCACCACTGCCCCCTTGGTGTGATATATAGCCTTGATCAACAACATAAATGATATTCCATAATGACAAGATTTAAATGGATTAATTAACGAGTTTTTCCTCCACTGTGTCTCATTACCGTCTGAAGTAAACAAATGGAGGCATTATGTTCATTGATCTGTATTAAGGGAGGGGGATACTCTTAAGGGGAATATTCTTAGGGGAATATTCTTAAGGGAATATTCTTAGGGATATTCTTGGGATCTTAAGGGGATATTCTTAAGGTGGAGGTATATTTAGAAGTGATAAGGGGATATTCTTATGGGGATCTTAAGGGATATTCTTAGAGGTGGAGGTATATAGGGGGTATGGGAATATTCTTAGGGGGATCTTAAGAGGTGGGGTCATAGGGGGTATTAAGAATATTCTTGGGGGGATCTTAAGGATATACTCCAAGAGGTGGGAGGTATATTCTTAAGGGGGGTATTAAGGAATATTCTTAGGGGGATCTTAGGGGATATTCTCAAGAGGTGGGAGGTATATTCTTAGGGGGTGATAAGGGAATATTCTTAGGGGATCTTAAGGATATTCTTAAGAGGTGGGAGGTATATTCTTAAGAGGTGGGGTATATTCTTAACACTTGGGTTTCTAGGTAATACAGGTGTCAGATGGCGACCAAATCCTACCGAGCACAGACCTAACCTAACATAACCTAACCTAATATAATCTAATCTAACCTGACCTGACTTAACTATCCAAACTTAATCCAATCTTGCCCAGAAAATATTCACACTCCACCTCATAATATACTGCCTCCCTATTTTCTCAATTTCCAACCCTCCTCTTCTCTCTTCTCTCCTTCCTCCCTCCTCCATCCCTCCCTCCTTCTCCATCCATCCATCCATCCCTCCCTCCCTCTCCATCCATCCCCTACCTCCTCTCCATCCTCCTCTCCCTCCATCCTCCATCCTCTCCATCATCACTCCTCTCCATCCCTCCCTCCCTCATCCATCCTCCCTCTCCATCCTCCTCCCTCTCCATCCTCCTCCTCTCCATCCATCCCCTCCTTCCCTCCTCTCCCTCCATCCCTCCCTCCTTCTCCATCCATCCTCCATCCCCATCCCTCCCTCCCTCCATCCCTCCCTCCCTCTCCCCTCCCTCCCCTCCATCCATCCTCCGTCCCTCTCCCCCCCTTCCTCTCCCCATCTCCCTCTCCAAAACATAAATTCTTGACGACCTACACCTCCCAGGCATCACAGGACAGTACACACATGGCTCTGGTCACAACCTGGCTACAACTTCGTCACAACAACAACAACAACAACAAAGCCTGACCAGAGCAGAAGAACAAGAAAGAAGAACAACAACAAGAAGAAGAAGAACAAGAACAAGAACAAGAAGAAAGAAGAAGAACAAGAAAGAGAAAGAAGAATTTAAGAAGAAGTCCAAATCAAAAGATAATAATAAATGTAATCCAAGCGAAGTACAGTAATAATTTGTTGAATCATTATTTGATCGGTATAAAAACTCTGTCTGGCTTTAATAAATGAGAGAGAAAGTAGTTCAAAGCACACCTCGTCATGGGTGAATGCTCTGGTGGCCAGGAAGTACAGTACAGTACACACCTCTCTGCAACAGTACACCATTTCAGCAGTACGCGAACCAAAACAAGAGTCTTTAAACCTAACCTAACTAACCTAAACCAAACCAAACCAAACGTACACTAAACCCACTAAACCTAACCACGAGCAAAACTAAACCAACCTAACCTAACCCTACCGTAAAAAATGGAGTTGGAGGAAGAACGGAAGAGAAAAAGGT